GGGTGGGGGGTAGAGGGTTCCGTAGTGTACCTTAGTCCGTACAATACAACTAATGGTACAAAATTCCGTGTTGTTGGGAGTAGAAAAAGATACGTACTAAAAACATGTGGAGGTCGTTGCCACGTTCCCTCTTTCTGTTCCATATTCTAATGCATAATTAGGGGATGCAAAGAAAAGAAGTAATGATATCAAACTAAAAGCTACCAAAAATAAAACATACTTCACCTACGTTATTTGCACTCTTAAAGAATGTCACGGTTGCACGGTAAATTCGTCAAAAGTATTGCATTTTTTGGAAGATCTGATATGAATGTGGTAACGTTTTGAAGAGTCCAAGCAACAGTCTATCCGTACATACACTGTTGATGGTTAAATTTATCCATAACTTTTGGGTTACAATCAACTAAAGTTATGTTATATAAAATGGACTAGTAAATGATGTGTACGGGGATTTAATTAAAGTCCATTTATTGAATAAGATAATCGAAATGTTAAGGGTTTGGACATTAATTATAACACTGACTAGGTGGATCTTGTGAAATTGCATAAAATATTGGACTAGTCTTGTCGTTTAAGTATTATTTAACTGACATGATTGTATTCTTTTGAGGTCTGTGCTTAGTCTAGATTGTAAATATTTACTGTAATACAAAGAAAGTTTGGACCAAAGAAAATCTTAGAGGTCTGAATCATTTTAGAGGTCTCATCATATTTCATATTAGAAGAATGGTAGTAGAAAGCCATCACTTTCTTCATATCAGGCCCTCTACACAGAGAAGTGGAGAAGCTACGAAAAAATATCAAATAAACATCCTCCAAACCTGCAACAAGATCATAAATATGAACTGTCCATCCACGGCCACAAGATTATTAGTGGCTCACATGAGCGGGTTCACTCAAAGAAAGCAGAAGAAGATGTAGAAGATATACAAAAGAGAAGGGCCTCCTCTTCGTTCTACGTTTCTCTTTTCTTTTACTTGATATTCATGCATTAATTAAGTGGATCTTGTCCATCCTTGAATGATTATTCCTAAACTAGTGGCTCCGTTGTTCCCCCGTCAGCATTCCTATATAACAACACTTCACTATAAAAGCCAAGCTTTTCAGGAACCAATTTTTATATTATGTTATAATATATGTTCTCTATAACAGCACTTCCCTATAACATCCAACAATATTCGGAACGGATGAAGCTGTTATAGAGAGGTGTGACTGTAGTTACCATTAATAATCTGAGACAGAGCAAGAATTTAAAACTTATGAGTTTGGAATTCTAGTTGTTTTATATTATGGGATTATAAATTAATAATTTTTATATATTTAATTAATATTTGAAGAAAATACAGGATTTGGGCCAAAATTTACAGAGTTCATCCGGATCCGTAACCTATACATAGGGGTGGCAAACAGACGGGTCGGGTCGGATATGAGCGGGTCAAAACGGATAATTCAAGAAACGGATAAATTATCCGACCCGACCCGTATTTGAGACGGATAAAAAATTGGTTTATCCGGCGGATAATATGGATATTCATATTATCCATGACTTCTTAAATATGATCACTTATGAGAGAATTCCTAATCTTACAAACTTGAGGAACCCCAATTTGAGGCTTTACAAATGTAAAAGTTAAACACATTAGTTATTGTCACGACCCAATTCCGTAACAGGTCATGATGGCGCCCAACGCCTTTGTTGGGCAAGCCAATGCGGAAAATACTAGCTAACTTTCAGTCACCTTTACCCGAAGTAGTTAAATATAATTCTTTAAATTGGAATAATTCAGAAACGATGAATAGAAATCATGAAAATTATACAACCCCGAAATAACACAGTCTACTAATGTGTGTGTGGCATGACCTGGTGTCACAAGCATGAGCAACTAGTAGAATATACAAAAGAATCGCACTATCCTACTGTCCGAAACGGAATAGACAGCAAAAGTACAAAAAGGAAGACTTCTTCAGGCTGCTGAACGGCATGGAGGAGGAGCAGCTCACCGTAGAAGTCTCGAAATCCGCTCAGAGATGCGCACCCGACTGATAGCCCGATGTACCTGCCTCAGACCCTGTACAATTAAGTACAGAAGTGTAGTATGAGGACATAAACAATATGTACCCAGTGAGTATCCCGTCTAATCTCGAAGAAGTAGAGACGAGAGGTCGACTTGATACTTACTAGGGTCAAATAATGTGAGAAGAATTTATAAATGGCATGGATAGCACAAGTAAATAGCATTTAAAAAAAGATCATGGCATAACAGTTCTTCCCCAAGTATTTCATGGATAGTCACCTATATTTCAAGCAGGTATGAAATCCAGTCCTCAGAGAAACACTAAGGAAAACATATACAAGTGACACCGTGGGACGTACGGCCCGATCCAACATAAAAAATAAATTGTGCACTGCCGAGGGTCGAACGACTATAACCATAGATGCATCTATTACCCCGCTCGCGAATCACCCATGCGACGCGGTCAAATATAAATAAACTCATCAACAAGCAAACAATAATATATATCTGAGGAGTAGTTATTCGCAGGAATACCTAATATTCTCTTTTGAAAGACAAAACAGGATAAGGTTCCTTTACTAATCTCATTTACCTTAATCAAAATAGTTTATACGAATCCGAATTTATCATCAAGACACAAGAATATCACGTAGAGCATGCTTATGGGTCCTAGACTGCCCGAACTTAACATAATAGTCGCTACGCACGGATTCTCGTCACCTAGTGCGTACGTAGCCCCCACAAATATTAGCATTTAATTCAATTATTATACCTATGGGGACAACTCCCTCTTACAAGGTTAGAAAGGAGACTCAGCTCGCTCCAAAATGCACTTCGAATGCCAAGAACAAGTCCAAGCCCTCAATTCGGAGCCGAACGATCCCAAACTAATTAAACGAAGTAAGAACTAGTTAATATAGACTCATAAGATCGAATTCTAGCTATTTAAGCAATTTCTCAACCACTAACACAAGTTTCCCAAAATCCGACCCCGGGCCCACGTGCCCGGATTCCGAAATTTTTTGAAGGAAGTTGTTCTCTACCACCTAAGGATCACTAATATACGATTTCTAATTAATTCCATAACAAATTCCGTGGTTAAATCCAAGTTTTATTAAAACCCTAGTTTAGCTCTAACCCCCTTTGATTTCTCCAAATCTAGGTGTTAATCTACCCAAAACTCGAGGATTAAACTTACATTAAGTAGAAATAACTTACCCCACAATGCTATGTTGAAATCCCCTCTTTGAAAGCTCCCAAATCGCTCAAGTGTAGAGACAAAATGAAATAAATGGCCTAAGTCCCGTTTTTTAAAAGCTGTGTCCAGGTCTCTGATGTCGCATTTGCGACACCAGGCTCGCATATGCGAAGTCGCAATTGCGACAATATGTTCGCAAATGCGAACTGGGTCACCCTCTGCACTATTCGCAATTGCGATAGAGGGGTCGCAAATGCGGACCCTGCTGGGTTCGCAAATGCGAAGCAAAAGTCACAAATGCGAACACTGCTCCCAGCCAGCTTCATCGCAAATGCGATGCTACTCTCGCAATTGCGAGATCGCAATTGTGATCAAGGTCTCGCAATTGTGAAACCTGCAGCAGCAGCAAAAACACCAGAAAACTGGTGTGTTGATTTAATCCGAACCCATGCCCAAAACTCACACGAGCCCTCGGGGCTCCTAACCAAACACACTTACTAACTCAGTAACATCATACGAACTTATCCGTGCGATCAAATCGCCAAAATAACCGCAATAACAATGAATCAAACCTCAAAATCGAGAACTTTTCCTCAAACTTCATCAAGTATCAAATTTAGCAATTCAAGTCCGAATCACGTCACGACGTCCGTTTTCAAACAAATTTTACAGGAATGACCAAACCTTATATAAGACCTGTACCGGGCGCCGGAACCAAAATACGGGCCCGATACCAACACGTTCTAATCAGATTTGATTTCAATTTTCCTTAAACAATTTCAGTAAACAATTTTACTTAAAAATTCATTTCTCGGGCTTGGTACCTCGGAATTCGATTCCGGGCATACGCCCAAGTCCCATATTTTCCTACAGACCCTCCGGGATTGTCGGATCACGGGTCCGGGTCCGTTTACCCAAAATGTTGACCGAAGTCAAATTTAGTCTTTTAAGAAAATCCTAAGAAATCGCATGGGCATATTTCACCCAAAACTCTTTCAAATCCCGAACCAACCGTCCTCGCAAGTCATAAATTAGCTAAAGCAAGCGCGCGAAGTTTTAAATGAGGGAACGGGGTTCAAAAAGGCAAAACAACCAGGCAGGTCGTTACTTTCT